TTTAATGTGAACATACCAGTATTTACTGTGACATTCCCACTAGTTGCATTAAAAACTGACACAGCAGTGAGGGTTGTGAATGAGGTCATATGATCAGGCTTTGCTGTGACAGAGGAATTATCGGTGATGTTGAGCGCAAGACCCGTGGTGTTCAGGGTGAAGGTGCTCGAGATCCAATGACCAGACTGTGTCGGGGTCCTCACAGCTGTGCTGAGCTCTGTGCTCCTGGTCATTGTGTCTGACGACACTGTGTGATTGACTGCATAGTTACTGTCTGGGGAAGTGACATTGACTGGTGTTATGCTGGAAGTTAGGGCATCAACAACGACTCCTGCAAATGAGATACAGCAAAGGAAGGCGAGAGTAAGCAAGATATTACAGCGTTTAAGTGAAAGCACAGGTTAGGGAAAAGTGTGTGGCCCCAGAGCTACTGTAGGCTTTACTATCATGAGTAAAAAGTGAGCTAGTGCAGCTGATGTAGTTATTAGGCAGACAGTTGGCTATGATGGCAGTGTAACAGCTTAGTAAAGTTCAGCATTGGCCTGTATGTTTGCGTATGATATCGTGTGATTCAGGAGCAACTAAGACTACTGCAGCTACGAGGCACAGCAGTGACAAAGCAAGTATTCTTGTAGAGATGTATTGGTAGCAGCAATACCACGCAGGAGGTGAATGCACTCATGAATGTTTTGAATGCAGTTCAATATGGCGGCCCGCCTGCCACGCAGGAGCGGGGAATTGACATAAGGAGGGGTGTGATTTGCTTTGGTGCGTATTCTCCTTCCACAGAAGGCTGCCTGGGCTGGCTTTCCTTGCAGGGTTAATTTATTTTTGTATGCTGTCATATGCAGACATTATAAGGCGAAAATGACCTATTCTTTCAAATATGGTTTCAATTGATGCAGCATTCTACTTGCACGGTGAAATCAGTATAATTAACACAATAGTCAACTCTTTAACACACGATGCTGTGTAACAATGTACTTTTTCCCACCTGTAGTTACATTATAGATGCATTCCAGTGCGTAATAATAGCTTCCATATGACATATCTGTTTCTTAAAAGTAAAAGTGGCAAATTATGCTTTTCCTACGAGACGAGATGCTGCTCAGTGCAGAACCCGCACTGGTTTTTAACTAAATGAAACGGCAAAGATAAAAAAAAAACTGAGTCCTTCCTTACCTCTCAGGACAACAAAGCCACAGTGGACACAGAGAAACAGCGCTGTGTATGTCAGCCTGGCCATGGTGCTTCTGGCTGATTTTCCCAGAGTAGATAACCTGAATAAATACTCTCAGAACGGCTCACATCCTTGAACGCAGGATATAGCCAAATGAGTAAGAGTGGGTGTGTCCCTGCTCCAAACATGCCCAATGAGTGCTTTTCCTTGTTTAGGATATAGCCAAATGAGTAAAAGTGGGCGTGTCCCTGCTCCAAACATGCCCAATGAGTGCTTTTCCCTGTTTAGGATATAGCCAATTGAGTAAAAGTGGGCGTGTCCCTGCGCCAAACATGCCCAATGAGTGCTTTTCCCTGTTTGCCCCAGTCTGTTTACTCATGCATTGGTACCATGGTCCTCCTAAGTGACATGCTGTGCCATCAGAATGAGCTTTCGTACTTGATACTATTTTAAAACTAAATGGTTTCAGCCATTGGAACATAAACACATTATACACTATTGAATGACAATTTGCCATGGATTTACATTTTAGGGTGTGAACTTACAGTGTGATACAATAGATGATGACTATATGTTTTTCCACCTAGTACATTTATTTTTGGTTGGGGTGGTAGGGTGCTTTAGCAGGTAGCAGTCGCACCTTCAGGGTTGGGGGTTCGAGTCCTGCCTCTATTCCCTGTGGGCTCAGTCAGACACATTTGCCTTTTGGTTATCTGTGATTGGTTATCTGTGCATGCTGAAGAGCTTGACTTGCATGTTTTTTAATACGCTTTACTGAGTTACGACACAATACGAGTCTGCTTCCGAGCTGAGCATAGGTTGTGTGCCATCTTGTCGTCTTAATTGATCTACATTTTTTTACACATTGAAATTAATGGCATTTATGTCTCTGACTAAGATTCCACCGGTGTACTCAGCAACACACTTATAGTTCTTGCTGTTCTTGCTTATACCATAATAGTGGTATTTAGTCTGTCTGTCTCTCTGGCCGTCCAGGTGATTTGAGATTATAGAAATAGTTAAATCCTAGAATGGACGAGATCTCACCCTCTCATAAGTATTGTATCCAAAAGTTTTCCCGTGTCCCCTGGGGGCCCCAGGCTGGCCTGGCTGGGGGGGTCCAGCAGGCCAATCAGGAGTCCTGTACATCAGGTTCCTCTTCTACACGCAATTAATTTCTCCTTCTCAATATGGAAAGACAAGGAAATGAGGGTGGGATTCTGTATCTCCTAAGGAAATATTTCCCGATCCGGTCCTAGGGGCCCACATACAGTCCTGCTCTAAGGCCTAAGGTTACAAAAATAAATTAGCTGCTGCTGACATGGAGGTCTGCAGAGTAATACCACTGCAAATCACCTCTCCATGTCTCTGTAGCACCAAAAATGGCTCTCGCGCCATTTCTCTCTCCTGTCTTCATTGGACATCATGGCTTATCCTGCAAGTTAAACAGGACAGTATATTTCTTGCTACTGTATACTTTTAGAGTGCCATTTATTTACTTGGCAGATGCATCTCTCAAACGTAATGTACAATTGATGCAAATAGGAAGCCCGGCGCGCGGCCTCTGGCGGAGGTCCGGCACTCGGTTAGGAAGCCCGGCGCGCGGCCTCTGGCGGAGGTCCGGCACTCGGTTAGGAAGCCCGGCGCGCGGCCTCTGCCGGAGGTCCGGCACTCGGTTAGGAAGCCCGGCGCGCGGCCTCTGG